CAAGCCAAGAACAGACAGTGTGTTTTATGAATAAATGAAGAATTGCTGAAATACCATCAGGATGGGACAGCAAGCACAAGTCACCCACTGCTGATGGGGCACAGGTACCTGCAGCTCTCATGGCAGCAACAGCAATCAATTATGTAGTAGATTCATTATGAGAACAGGCTGCTAAAATACACCCCCACTATTTGCAACAAGTGCTGATGCAGCAGAATGAGAGGAAACCTACCTAGATGATACCTAGAAAAATACTTTGAAAAATTACTGAGTGTTATGGGCTTAGTCCAGAAGGGAAAAGGGGGAAGAGCTCCAGCATCAGCCAAGCAGGATCCATAGTGAACCATTAACTGAAGACATGGATAGTGGAGAATAGGATTTGGCTGAGGCATATTTTCTTAAGGAAAGAATACAAGAAACACATGGTCAGGGGTTAGCACAGATTTCTCCAATTCTTGCCCTCAAACAAAGAGCAAAACCTTTGACTGCATCTGTATGGGCACAAATTTAAAGTGTGTCACAACCCAGCTCTGTGCTGCTGCCTTTCTGACTCAAGATGAATGAAATATCCAGACAAGGGAGTGCTGCTGAGCACAGGCAGGGCTTTGGACATTGCTACTTGAAAAGTATAAGGAAAGCGCATGGATTAAAACATGAGTCAGAAATTTTGATTTATTTTTTCCCTGCTCTAAGTAGCAAGCGTCTGTAGGAGGACAGTGTTATCAAGGGCGCACCTGGATTCACTTGACATGCCAGAAGAAAAGGGATTTCCACGTTTGAGTCAGACTCTAAACTAAAACTGAGTACCTGTTGCAGGCTTGATCTTAACCTTGAGAGAAACTGCCTTATTTGCTAGTATTTAAGAGGGGGATACACTCCTTCCCTGTAGCATTCTTCTGAATAATTTTACTGTTCAGGTTAATATTTAAAGGTGACTAAGCAGCAAAACCTGGCCTCTGACAACTTTGCTTTAGGCTATACAGCAAATCTGCTAGGAAGCAGATGATACAGGATAATGAAGAATGCCTGATGTGCAGTCATGACTTGCTTGAGAGTCAGGCACCAGACTGGTGGAAGCACCAGCGACTGTCTTAAAACAGCTTCCGAAAGCGAGATACCCAACCAGCTTTGCAGGAGTTTGCAGCATGGTGGGCAGCCAAGCCAGCATGGTGCATCACAGCCAAGTTTCCCATTTTATGGGCTGCTCAGTTCTAGGAGACAGGATAAAATAAATAGGCTGCAGCTACACGGTGTCCTCAAGCAGGTGATGAAGCCACAATCTTACAGCTTTTCACATCAAGGCTAGCAACAGGAGGTGTGCAAGCAGAGCCAGAGCTCTGATGAATTTACTGCACATCACAAAATGTTGTTCAGCTCTGGTACAATTAACACTACTAATACTGCTGGCCTGTCAGCTGGCATTGCAGTGTCCTAGATCCAGCCTGTGTTTGAGCTTGGTTTGGTCTCTGGGATCATAGTGGCCATAGTGATACAGATCCCACAGTGACACCATTCAGCACTGGCTGCTACTGGCTGTTTGACATTATCAGATCACTCATGGCTTGAGTTCATGTGGCTTTTCTCACAGGTTGATGGCAAAGCTCTCAACCACCACCACTATGCCAGCTCTCATGGCAGGAACTCTCCTTGGAGTTGGCACACAGAGTATGTACATTTCATTGTCACAGGAGCCTGACCCTCAGATCACTGGTTACAGCTCCCTAAACCACAAAGTAATCTGTTCCTTAAACACCTCATAATGCTGTGGAGTTCACTATTGCTATCCCACTCAGCTTCATTTTCCACTACCACCATCCAGCCTTTCTTCCTGCCATGAGTTTCTGATCACAATCCCCTCTCGCTAGCATCCCACCAGGTATCATACCTCATTTCACTTGCTAGAGATCCATAACTATAGCCTGCTACCAGAAGGATTAATGCAGAGTGAAAGGATTTTTATGAACTTGCTCTGCTGATGGCTGCAAAAGAGATTGCTTCCAGCTGAAGGAATCTTACCTGTAGAGACCTGGCAGATTTCCAGTTCCTTTGTTCCCTCAATACAGAGGGATCAAGCACGCTGCTTCTCCTGATAGCAACAGTGATTCTTGTGCAGTCAAGATAAAGCTGGTAAATCAAAGTGTCTTTTTTTTTTTTTTCCACTCTCAGGAGTAAATAAGACATTGAGTGTTTCGGTACTGCCAGTATGAGTATGATGTCAATTCAAAGGCAAAGGCTGTTCAGCCCTTTGTGGGTGTCCAAGGTAAATGAGAGCAGCTGCTTACTCCTGCTGCATGATGCTTTCCATTTCATCTCAGCTGCAGGATGCTATCAGACATCAAGGCCAACAGTACTCTGCATCAGACTCTCCCCCTTGTGAAGGAAACAAGTCTAATCATAATGAGCCAGAAGTGGACATGGGGTTATTTTTCCTTTTAAAAATCTTGCTTGCTGTGGACTACAGGTCACACTCACCTCAGCCTGCAGAGCCAGGATGCTGTTGACATTTATCTGTGTAGAACAGACATATATGCAGCTTGAATTTCTACAAGACACAACCACCTATTTGTTGATCTATATTTTACCAGGTATAGCCCTGCCCTGCCTGCTGTACTTGCTCTCCCTGGCTTCTGAAGGAAAGCACGCTGGGGGTGGGACACACTTGTTTCACCTACAAAAAGTGTGAAGTTTCGGCAATATGGAAAACACAAACGTCTCTCTGAATGAACGTGAAATGTGTTTGTTGAAACAATCAATTACAGTATGCTAAACTTCCCAGTTCCATTTCAGTTGTGGGCTAGACCTCAGCCATCAATTAGCTATATATTGATCTAATCCATTCCTGCTCTCTTGGGTGCAAAAATACACACAATTACCATTTTATAACGAAGCCATCCCAATCACTCTAATAGGTCTATTTGCGACAAAAGTCAGTTCAGTGCAGAACTGGAGCTTCAGTTGGTAAATAAGCACTTAATAAATAGACAGGAACATAGTTTTGTTAAAAATAAAGGTTAATAAAACTACGTTTTAGCCAAAGAATTATGAGGCTGAAAAAACCTAATCTATAATTAGCAAGGTTTTTTCTTAGGCAGTATGAAAATTCATGGAGGCTTTAGATTTCAGGATGAAATACACGTTTTAAATAACCACGCACAATGATGCAAACAGGCAGCCTCTGGCTAAAAGACAAAAAAAAAAAAAGGGGGGAAAGGCAAACAATGGCTCATCAGGTGTTAGGGAGAAAAAAAAGAACAATAATGAAAACCCAAACATTATAAAGAAGGGACTGCTGTAAAAAAAAATCGGTTCAACCTCTTGCTCAGAGCAGTGCTAGCTTTGATCAGGTGACAAATAATGATTTACTTCAGGTCTAGCTTTGAAATTTAAGCTATAATAATAGAATTACCCAAACATCTAAATACTGATTTTCATAACCTTGAATGAGTAATTCTATCGTAGCTCACCATGATGAAACAGCATAGAGCTTTTTATCTGAAGTGTCTATAACACTGTTAGAAAGAGAGCAATAGAAAAAGTCTAATAGTTTTGACTTCTCCCTCACCTCCCACTCTCTTCTCCATCCCTCTCCTCCCAGCTATTCATAGTGATATAGATATAACACTACAAAACAAACCATCTGTGACAACTGTCAGTTCAGGGCAGCATTAGGTAATAAATGAACTCACTTCAAGGAGGAATGAGGATTTAAGGTGTGAAGTCAGTAACTGAAACATGGAACTGATGCAAGAGAAGAGGTCAGAAAGAATACCGCGGAAGTCATTGCTGACAGGGGTTCTTGAGAGGCAGAACAGCTAGTGCAAGAGAACCTCAGCCTAACACACCCTTATAATCAACTCATTCTGTATGCTAAATATCAATGGAAGCTTTGCATTCTATTTTAGTTAACACCCAAAGCATTGTAATCACTATATATGCAGCCTTTCCACAAAAGTTATGCTACATTTATAGCTCAATTCAATTCTGCTGGGCTGGTAGCAGAGATTACACTCATTTTTTTAATCACTGATATTTCCAGTGAAGCTTCAAGACCCAATTCAGACCACTGAAATGACTGAAGACTACTCAGCCATAATCAGTATTCTGATGGTAAAGGAAGTTCAAACAGCATGGGACTACCAGAAGAATGCACATGCCCTGGCCTGCTTGCATGTAACATCTACACAAGCAAGGATGTGGAGAAAGCAGGGTCAATCACTGATCTACTCAAAGTCCTTTGAGTGCAAAGCTAAAGAAAAACCCCACTTCACTGTCAAAACCATTTGGCAGTTTCAGCAGCCCTTTAGCTCTTAGCCCAGCTTTGCTATCAAAAAGATTCTCCAAATAAACCCATAATAGAAGTACCTAGTTTCATACCTTGCTTGTGAAAACAAGAATGATATTGTTCTTCCTAAATCCTATGACCCAGTCTTCCATTAAGAATTGCCTCTTGGGTTGCAGAAGGCCCAGGACAGAGGAAAGATCCCAAGAAAGTCCATATTATGATTTTGAGTGCCATACTTTTCAGGCAAGAGTAGGAACAGAGTACACTGCTTTTCTCTTATCTTCCCTCAAGAAGCCTTTAAGGTGGGATAACATGTGGTACTTGAATAACCACAAGTCTGTCTTGTTGAGACAGTAACACAAAGAACAGAAGCTCATTGCTTTCAAATCCCTTATCCAGGAATGCAGAAGAAAGAACAGAGTTTTAGGAAAGGACAACTGAACATTGCACTTCTTAGAGATTCAAATGAAATTTTAGATAGTTATAAGTACTAAAAGCCCCCACTTTGGGCTGACAGAAAGAAGTGCTGGGCAGCACCAAGCAGCTTTATTCTGCAGGAATGAGAGATTGTCCTGTCTACAACAACCCCAAGGTATCTGTGTAAAAAGCCCTTCTGCAGCACAGATAACTCCTTCAGCTAGCAAGGTTGCCAGTAGCTAAGAAACTACAAAGCCAATACATTTACGTCACTGATACAGCAGTAAGGACACAAGGCATATTCTTTCAGCAAGTCATACTTATTTTCTGACAGTCTTTGGACTGGAAGGTTACTATCAGGCAATCAGTAGCTTGGGGACACAAGACAATTAGGATTTGCATTACGCACACACACACACTATGTCTATTTTAATCACAAACAGTCTAAACAAACCAAGAAACTGAACAGCTCATTTATTAGATTTGTCAAAACACACATTTTTTTCTGGGCAATTCACAGGGTCATATATCATAATAAAGAAGTCCACATGAGAAGTACCAAATATTGCTCCCAGGGAATAAGCTGAATAATATCACTGACAACTTGGTCATATTCATATATCTCCAGTTATGTCCTTTCACACACAAGCATTGCTCATACACCTCAAAAAGAATTCAGAGCCCAGCCACTACTAGTTGGAATATATTAGCTTTGATTTCTACAGTATCAGTAAGAGTCTAAGTTATCTATTGCACACATATATGCACTCTTTAACAATTTTATAGTGAAACTCTAAGATTTCTTGTTCAGATTGTCCTGAGCCATTAAATAGTAATGACATATTAAACACAGAAGTAATGTTCTTACAGATAGTTCTGTCAGATTAGACACAGTAATCTGAATGGAATATCTGGAAAACTACATGTGGTGGTTACAACTCTGACAGAGCTACAAGTTCTACTCGGACAGCTTTTGATATATCAGCAATAGGAAGAACTTGAACTGCATTTTCACATGCCCTAGTTGCAATTACATTTCATTTTTCAGCTAAGGCTTGTTAGAACTAAAGAAGTTGCATTAATAACCCAAATGCACTTGCATCTCACCCGTCCCTCCTACATGGCTAATTTAAGAATCTGAAAGGGCCAGCATCCAGATAACCTCATTTTTTTTTTCTCTTCAAAAACTGCAATAAAAGGCTGCACAACTTTGAAAGGTATAATACATTTCAAGATAACACTTCAATTGGAGTATCTCAGACCTTATGTCAAGCCATAATACAAAACAAGTTTTTACAAAATATCATTAGTTATTCTTGACATAAATCCTAATGGCTCCATGCTCTTGGCAGTGTGATGTAAATCTGGAAGCACTTCAAAGTATCACCTTGTTTCTATGCTCCTCTTTGAATATGATGTATTGCTGGACTTAGAGAAATTCTGTTTGGCTGGTTGTGCAGGTTGGTGTCCTTGTATAGAAATCAAATATTTCCTTCCCTTAAAATCATATTAATCAAGCCAAATACCTGTAGGTTAGAAAAAAGGTGATAAGATTTTTAATAAAAAAACAAACAAAAAACCCCAAAACAACAAAACCCTAGAATATAGCTTCAAGACAAGCCAGAAACAACCGCTATCTTTGGCGGCTCTTTGACATGGGTATTTCCTCATGCTTTAGAGTATTACAAGCTACTTTAACAGACTCTTTTAGAAATCAGATATTTCTATTTACTTTATCCTTTTCATGGAATTAGATAAATTCTTTCCAGTCACTCATAGCCTCCGGAACACACAATTAATTATTACTGAGCCAATGAATAACAGCCAGAGTCTTGAAAAGCAGGGTTCACTCAGAAGATCATACAATAAATCTCATTTGCCCTACTGTGAAGACCTGTGAAGAGTTCTTTCTATGAACATGAGCTTTATATCTTTATATTACAAAGAACCTCTACTTAATATGTAAAAATGCTCAGTTGATGAAAAACCTAGGTTCAGCACCAAAAGACAGAACAGGAGGCATAGTGTTTCCTCTTTATTTGCATCAGCCAAGCCACCATTTGTATGGTGCAGTATCATATTTTAAGGTGCTTTTGGCTACAGAAAAAATTATACTCAGACACAGCATTTCCAGACACATTTAACAGCTCTAGAGGCAAATCCTACAAGTTATTTCCTCAAAGAAATTAAGAGAAACGAGTTTCCTTCTAAAGAAAAAAATAGGTATTTTACCAGTTTTAAAGAGCCTGAATGACTGATAACACCTAAAGCAATTTTCACACAAAGCAACGCATGCAATAATAGAACAGGGCTCTCAGGTGCCACTGGCTTTTTTCTAACACATTTATTGTACCCATGTGGCAGAAGGCATATATACCACAGACATATTCAGAGCTCCCATGCTGGTCACAGCAGCAAAATGACAAGTTGTTCCTGGTGTTTTGCAAGATTCAATTCCTAGAATAATGCTGGCCCCTGCGTACATTTTGATGTCAGCAAGCATCTTTGCCCAAGTAAAAGTACTGACTAGCCACAAAAAGGCTGTTATGACAGCGATAACCAAGTCCTACAAAAGAGAAGTACTCATTAGTAACTTAAAAAATATCCATGAATACACATAAGAGACCAAGGCAGAGACAGCATCAATTAAATCACCAAAATAACTGCATCAGTGCGAATGATCATTTAGCTATTAACAGTGCTGTAATTACAACACAAGTTATATTCTGTACTGATCAGCTACAAAACTGTATGCCTCTGCATCTATCAAGCATAGGCAATTTTAACCTTTGTAAAAAAATAATTTCTAAAATCAGATGTGTAGCATTTATGCTAAAAAATTTTAAGTCCACATAAGTGACCAAAATTCACAAGATGACTATTTCCCTCTGCCAGCAGCATCCACACAGCAGGTGCTCTGCACAGGGAATATTCTCGGACACTAAGAGAGGTTCCAGCTATGGAACAATTGTATATTTGAATACATGAAACAAAATAAAAGTTGTGGTGAAGACACTGTTCACTTGAGAAGGTGGAACTTCATTCTACTCTGCTTCAATAACTGCATAAGGTACAATACCACTAATGTTCAAGATCTTTGGATCCCCTTTTCTGCTTGACTGCTGTAGTAACTGGTCTGAGATACTCTGCTCATGACCCACCTAACTTCTGGAACTACTGAATATTCACAAGTTATTCAGGTATTCTTGTATCAGGAGTATTTTTGATCTCCTTGTAGTTTCACAGGCAAGCATTAAAATATTTTAGTGCTACTTCCAGTTAGTGGAAACCTCCCCTTTTGGTCTTACACATGCTTATATCTAATATATACCACAAGAGCTGCAATGCTGTAGAGGAATACCAACACTGCAAGTGTAGTAATGAAGAACTGTGCAGAAGATGAGAAGTTGCCTTCAAGATAAACATCAGTCCAAGTACCACCACAGAAATTTGGGTCTGGTGCACTAAATACAACAGTATACAACTTGCAAAGATTATATCCTTCATGTAATTAGTGTTTGCTATACAGTGGAAACTACACAGACATGATTCACAGTAACAGTGCTTCAGCATTCTGATTGTGCAAGTTCTCTTTAAAACAAAATTTATGTTTGCATAATACACCAATTATACAGCACAAAGGCTTGCCAAGATATCCAATGACTGTTCCCCATCCTACACTGGGATATGCAATGGCAACTTTTAGGGATGAATCTACTCTTTAGAGTAACTGAAGAAAGAAATCCTGATGTGGAAGGAGACATAACATTATTTTAGAGACTGGCAGTTAAAGAAGTGGAGCAGGACGTAAAAGAGACTGGGTTGCATTACAGCTTCAAGACCATACAAACACGAAGTTCAACAAACCTGTGTGACTAGCAGTGACTAGCACAGAACCATTTCACATTCCTACTTTCCCCTCCAAGTATTATTATGGTGCTTGGTTTTGTGACCAAAATCTGTACTTCTGAATCTAATCTAATCTGGGCCTCCAAAGCAGCTACAAATTGATGAAGAAAAGGCTGTTAAAATTAATTGTAGTTTTTCTTACTAGTTGACCTTCTTTTGCATTCACACACCAGTAGAATAGAGCTTAATGTAGAGTGAAACAGCCTATTGTTATTTCTATCTACTTCTATAGGACACTGACAAAAGACGGGAAAGAAGTGAAAAATTGATAATTAGCATATAAGTGGCAACTGAAGAGCTAATACTTACCTGAAAGGATAAGCAAAAGCGGCTGTAACTGTTTTGTTTACCATGCCATGGCAGGAAACTAGAAGAGTAGTTCCACCTTGAAAGCCTCCACATGTGGCAAAAGCAAAGACGTCAAAAATCTATAGGAATTGATACAGAGACACATTAATGCACACCACTGGATCTCCAAGGAAATAAACCCAACGTTTAGCTGAAATGAATAATGAAATCAAGAAATGGGAAGAAAGTCTGGAAACCTCAAGTATGAAGTGATGTCAAGAGATAATGCAAACATTTTGGATTCTAGAAGCTCAACTAAGAAAAAAAGCACATTTAAGAGTTTCTTGTTTATTTTTCTTAACTCTACAGCAAATTTCCTTGAAGAGAAGAGTCAGCACACTACACAGTTGGTAAGGGAAGTATTTTTAGGAGTCCCAGACATCCACAGCTGTAGATTAGGGCAGCTAGAAAGTACACACTCAGGATACTGCACACCAGCATGACTAAGTAGCTATTCTTTTACCTTTACCTACTAGCAATACCCAAAACCCCCAGCAACCAGAACACACATCACACAGCAGCACAAATTACTGTGACAAACTCGTAATTAGCATATAGATTTTATCTACCTGGAGAACTGTTTTCTTCCCTCCCAGCCAGCATGCTTGGCTGAACAGCAGCCTCACGTTGAGCATCCACCACCACCACCACCACCACCACCACCACCAGGAGGCACACACCTCCTCAGACCTACTCAGCTAAGACACAGGAGCAAAGCCAGGCCTGGGGAAGGAGAAGAACCAGCCCTCTGAGAAGGGGGGGGCTTCCCCTTACACATTCCCCAACCCCACTCACCCACTGGAGGACCTTAATGAAGCGCAGGGGCTTCAAGAGCAAGCCAAAGTCCAGCCTCGCACCGGCCATTCTGGGCCATACCAGAGCAACCGGCAGCGACTGGGTCTGAACCCAGGACCACCGCACACAGCCTGGCCCCGCGCAGGCACCCCGCTATAGGCCATCCCCGGGGCTCCGCCCTGGCACACCCGTTACCTCACGAGAGACTGGCTCCACGCCGCTACCTCACACTGCGCTCCTCAGCCCCACCAGGTGAAGGCCGGGGGAGGCGGGTCCCGGCGGGAGGGCAGCAGAGCCCAGCTCAGCCCAGCCCAGCCCAGCCCAGCCCAGCTCAGCTCAGCCCAGCCCAGCCCAGCTCAGCCCAGCTCAGCCCAGCTCAGCCCAGCCCAGCCCAGCCCAGCTCAGCCCAGCTCAGCCCAGCCCAGCCCAGCCCAGCCCAGCCCAGCTCAGCCCAGCCCAGCCCAGCTCAGCTCAGCCCAGCCCAGCTCAGCCCAGCTCAGCCCAGCCCAGCTCAGCCCAGCCCAGCCCAGCCCAGCCCAGCTCAGCCCAGCTCAGCCCAGCCCAGCCCAGCTCAGCCCAGCCCAACTCAGCCCAGCCCAACTCAGCCCAGCCCAGCCCAGCTCAGCTCAGCCCAGCCCAGCTCAGCCCAGCCCAACTCAGCCCAGCCCAACTCAGCCCAGCCCAGCCCAACTCAGCCCAGCCCAGCTCAGCCCAGCCCAGCCCAGCTCAGCTCAGCCCAGCTCAGCCCAGCCCAGCCCAGCCCAGCCCAGCTCAGCTCAGCCCAGCCCAGCTCAGCCCAGCTCAGCCCAGCTCAGCTCAGCCCAGCCCAGCTCAGCCCAGCCCAACTCAGCCCAGCCCAACTCAGCCCAGCCCAGCCCAGCTCAGCTCAGCCCAGCTCAACTCAGCCCAGCCCAGCTCAGCCCAGCCCAGCCCAGCTCAGCCCAGCCCAGCCCAGCCCAGCCCAGCCCAACTCAGCCCAGCCCAGCCCAGCTCATCTCAGCCCATCCCATCCCATCCCATCCCATCCCATCCCATCCCATCCCATCCCATCCCATCCCATCCCATCCCATCCCATCCCATCCCATCTGTGTGGCGTGCATGCTGCTCTCATGGAATTCATGAAATACAGCACAGGAGCTGTCACAGTAAGGAAAGACTTTGGCCAGTTTGAGGAGTTCCTTCCTTCCATCCCTCTATCACTAAGAGGCCGAAGGGGCAGTGACTGGCTGAAGCTAGAAGGTGCTGCTGTGGCAAAGGCCATTGATGCTCTGGTGTCAGGGCTGCGTGTCGTTGTGGTCCAGCCTTGCAGGATGGATGGCAGGTAGCAGGCAGAGGGCAGCCCGCTTCGGAGGATCATCTGCACCACACTTTGGCTGTGGGCTTGGTGATTTTATTAGCAAGCAGGGCAGAGGCTCTTGACAGTTCATGTGCAATGGAAGCTCACTGAAATTACATTAGCTACGTTTGATATTTTTAAGCTTTAGGCAATTCTGGTGATTGTGCCGTGTTGCTGTTATGTTGATCTTCAGTGATACCAAAGTGCTAAAACCCATGCTGAAGATTTGATGCCTGTAAGCAAAGGGCATACAATAACCTAGTTACAAGGAGAGACTATGGCTCCATGCCCTCCCTCCCAAGTGTGGAACTAGATGAGCTTTAAGGTCCCTTCCAGCCCAAACCATTCTGCTATTCTGTGGTTCTGTGATGCATCATTAACTGATATTGCAAGGGGAGAACAGTAAGCTCTTATTTTGGTGCTAAAATTAATCCCTCTAAATGCAATGGAGTTGAGCAGTGTGTGCAGATTAGGGAACAAGACCACATCAGAGCTGCGCCAGATTCCTAGGATCTCTTTTATGTGGATATCACAATGGTGGGAGAACTAAAATATGCTTTAGTTTAGGCTGTGCAGGTCTTGTAGGATCAAAGTCCAGGGGGGGAATCTGTTGAACTGACAGTTTTTTTCCTATGTTTCATGGTGGCGTTTCTAAAGCAGCTGGTGAGATGCCCTCTGATCTTGCAGGGCCCCGTCATAGAATTAAATGAGCAATGTCCAGTCCAGGAAAACTTACCCTATGGGACACTCTCTATGCTCCCTACTCTCTATACATGAATCAAACAACCTCTCCACCATGACCCAGACATGCAGTGTGGATGGTCCAAGCCACCCTGATTAGCCTAGCTGCCTGAATAGCCAGTTCCTTAAAGGAGCAAAACAGGAATATAAGCAAGGGACAGACCAAGATAAAAGATGGAATATCTATTTGCTCATCATGTCTACATCCTCCATGCTCAAGAAAAACCTTTCCATATATGCCATATCAGTGGCATACAGAGTCATGGTTCAGTCTAGATGGATTCAGTAACTCTCTGCCCCTCATCCAATCTATCTCAGTAATTTTTTCTCTGTGTTCCTTCTTCCCTGTCTTCTACTTAAATGCTATAAGTGATGTATCTCTGTAAAAATACATATAGGCATTTGTTTGATTCCTCTCCTTTCCCACTTGTCAGTTAGTTAAAAGCATTTCATTATTTAAAACACACTTCAAAAATGCACTCAGCCCTGATTGATGTTTTTTCTCCTCCAAGTCTTTTCAGGTGTCATGCCTGGAATGGATGTACTCTGAACTATATACAATGTTCTAGCTGTGGGCTCATTAATTCAAAATCGGAAAAGGCTCTTAATTTTTCACTCCATATAACTTACCTCTCCCTGGCAGTTAAAAGTCTTTTGGAACAGTTTTGCTAGTGGATTGCATTCCAAAATTATATCAAATACATTAAACATAGATAGTACTTCTACAAGGCTAATTTTATAAGCTGAAACGAATTCTGAATCAAATCTCTGCAAGGAAGAATTTAAGCAGGTATACTGTGTACTGTTTCAGAATACTGAAAAAGCCTGTGACAGAAAAAGAGAGTTATTTTGCTTGGAAAATCAGCTTATAGAGAAAGTGTCAGAGGTATGAAAATTGTATAACAAATGGGACAAAGGAGGTGTTGGTAATAATGAATATAAATTAGGAGGCAGCTTACTGCAGAAAAGCCAAAGAACCAAGGCACCAGTGTATGATCTATGGCCTTGAGGACAACAGCAATGCCTTTTTGAAACATGGGAGGAAGAGAAGAGATTATATCGAAGTGAATGGAGAGAAATGATGAAAATCAGGTCTGGTTTGTTTTTTTTTTTTTAAATAAAAAGCAGGAATAGCCAATATTGTATTGGGGGGTTAGGAAAAAGCAGGAAATTATTAATATGCTAATTGTATAATAAATCCTTTCCACTCCAGCAGGGCTCAGGGGAGTCTTGAGTCACATCTGCTAAAGCTTTTCTGTCAGTTGTCAATACCCAGCAACCTCAGTTGGGACAGGGTTGATAAAGGAGCTCTCTTAATATGAACAATGATTGCTTTGAAACACTGGTCAAGATCCAGATGTCCGACGTTCAGGCAATATAGGCCTATCCATTTATCAGTATTCCTAAGAAAAAAAGGTGAGGTGACTGATGCAGAACCTTCTTAATAGAGAATTAAATTAAAACAAGATATTTAATGTTAAGGGCATGGTCATTTGGGAGTTAGTTTTTGCTGATCAGCCAATGCTTAAGAAGCGATGATCAAAAGAATAGGCTGATAATATTTGTAACTAGCATAATTCCAAGTTCTGCAAGCTATTTGACCTGATACTTGATGACTCTGGAAGGATATGGAAACTGATGTAAACCACTGATTTAATTAGAAATGAGGTAACTGATAACTCTTAAACTGAAAATCAATATTATTAGTGAAAAAATAAAAATAACTTTTTAGCATACAAAGTCCCATTCATTAGAAAATAAAGAGGAGGATGAACATGTGGGGTTTGTATAACTACTCTCGTTATGTCTGAAGAAGCTGTGGGAGAGACCAAGTAGGATTCAGGCTGCCCAGGGAGACATGTCTCCAGCAGAGACAGAAAAGCACTTGTTCCCCTGTGCGAGGAGCAAATGAGCTTCCTCTGGAGCATTGTGCAGCAGTCACATTTCCTAATGCTTGTGGAAGATTAATTCAAACTATGTGGATGATTGAGGGTCATGGAGAGCTCCTATTCATATACTGAAAGAACTTGGGTGTTTAGCTTAGCAAAAGGAAGGTATTACTACTAGCCTGGAGTACACAAGCGAGTAGACATAGGGAAGGCAGAGATTTGTATGAAAAAATGGTTTTACCACAGGGATCACTGCATATAATCAAAGAATATAATTTATGCTGAACATAAAGTGTAAGTATGAGATTCCAGAAATGTCTTCCAACAGGAGGCAAAGGCTGGAAGTTGTTTCAAGAGGGAGTTCAGGATATTTGCAATACTGTTGCTTGTGATAGCAGTGGAAAAAACCCTTGATGATTCATTATGTTCTTTTCCCATCCAAACCCCTACACAGTCCAAACAAGTATGAATTAAGGGAAGTCCTGAGCTCTGTGTTTATAGATAAAACAAGAGTAGATAATTAAGTTAATACTTATCTGGCAGGAGAGACACCGTTTCATGGGACTGTTCTGTCCACAGTACTGTCTGATCAGCAGGTGTGCTGTAACTGAAAACTCCAGGTGGAAAAGTGCTTTTCTTCACCCCATATTAAACAAATCTCACCTGCCAAACAGCTGTTCACAGGTGGTTTCTTGTGACATAACAAGCTGCAATATTCTATCCAATTTTTTATGTCTGTTTTCTAGGGTCTTGACATCATTTTATTTGCTTGTGCACTCTGCTCTTTCTTCTTTACGCCTATTAATATATTTATTATTCATTTCTCTTTTGGCTGTCTAATAACAATGATAAGTTACACTGCTCTTTTTCCCTGATTTCTGTGGCACCCCTATGCTTTTTCTCCAAGACTTTGGAACTCACTGTTTTAAATTTGCTAAAAGTCCTTGAGACATATTTCACTGCATGTGCCATTCTTCTATCATATCCAAGCAGGTTTTAAGTTCTGTGGTCAATACAAATCAGATTTTTTTAGGCACTGTATCCAAATTTTTATAATAAATCCTAGGTGTTTGACACTGCTTTCATTTCATTTACTCATAGCAGCTTAGTTACTTCTCAACTATGATGTTGCTTAT